TCCTCTCCTCTCCTCTCCTCTCCTCTCCTCTCCTCACGCGCATCTGATTGTGTCCAGTGGCTTTGTTTCACACACGTCTGAAAATATTTACACTTTTTGAAACAAAAACTTACTTTCCCCCTGTTTTACACTTCAACTTGTTCTTTAATTGTTTTTCTTTCTTTCTTTCTTTTTCTCTTTGTGGGGTTATTTAGAATGGGACCGCGCGTGCGCGTGCGTGCTAAACTTACCTGGGCTTAGAATAAAAAAAATAAAAATAAAAATGTAATAAAAAAATGAAGCTAGTTGTGGAAAACTTTTTGCTTGTGAAAAAGTCAACACAAATTCTGAATTTAAATGAAATAAAAACAGACAATAATTGAAACAACTCCACAAATAAAGAGAAAAAGGTGTTTAAATTAGATATTAAATCATTTATGTTTAACCGATTGCAACAAGTCTCATTTCTTGTTTTTTTTATTTTAATCATTTTAATAATAAAAAGATGAAAATATAGTTTTTCTTGAAGATTTCAGTCTCACCGTTCCTGAAAAACTGGAGTTTTAATTTAATTTTCCTAAGAAGACAAAACATTTTTACAAAGAAGTGCGTGCCAAAAGAAGAGCAACAAAGAAAACAGACAAACAAACAGTAAGTGTTTAGGACATGGGCTCGGTGCAGGGAGTTTGGTCAGGATGTGTGGGAGCAGCAGAAAGTTGGAGTCCTGTCACAGGTGACGTCGGCCTCCTTCATTCCGTTTACTCTGACGCCACCTTTTGGTGACATTTTCCTCCCAACATGTTTCAGCAGAGCGATGTTTGAGGACTAACATGAGGACCTCGCCTCACTGTGGAGCACTGATCTGAGTTTTAAAAAAAAGGAACATTCATGGAGCAACATTAAACCTGTTTGTAGAAAATGGTCAAATAATGCCACCATATCTTTCCCAACAGAAGTTTTAAAACTCATGAGACAAATTTCAAAGCAGTTTCCAGCAACAAATGTCTGCAGGTTTATGATTTCTGACCATCAGCTTGTGTCCAACAGTCTTTGGATTCAGGTCTGTGGACTTTGATGGAACAACATTCAAAGCACCGGAGTGTTGATGATAAAAGCCACCATGTTTCATTCTGAGGTGTCAAGTAACAAAATACAAATAATTTGTTACCATTAGAAATGATGGTTTTCAGTGCTTCAGTGGATTAATTAGTTTTCAGCCATTTAAACATTTAAAAAATATCCTCATTACTCCGGTTTCATTTCGGCTTGTCTTCACAGCAAGGACCTAACTGACAAATATAACCAGGTGTGATGATGACTGAGGCAGAGATGGGAAGCTGTAGCAGAGCATCCCAATTTAGTCAACATTATTTTTTAACATAACATTATAGTCATTATGGTCTTTAGAAACATGTTTTGGGAGGTCACCTCCCAATAAATGTAATTTTGGAAATTCTAACCACTCACTTTTACTCACTGTTATTTTTAATAATTTATTTTATATCAGAAATTTACTTTTGATACTTAAAGGGATCCACGATTAGTTGTAACATTAAACTTTATTTGATAAACATTTATCCATCCATCCATCCATCCATTTTCTTCCGCCTATCCGGGGTCGGGTCGCGGGGGCAGCAGCTTCAGAAGGGAGGCCCAGAC